GAAGCTGTGGCTGCCCCTGGATCCCTGGAAGTGTCCAAGGCCAGGTTGGATGGGGCTTGGAGCAACCTGGGCTAGTGGAAGGTGTCCCTGCCCATAGCAGGGGGTGAAACTGGGTAATCTTTAAGGTCCCTTCCAACCCAAACCACCCTCAGATTCTATGAAATAAAAGTCTGTCTTGGAGTCTTCCTTTCATTATGATTTTATAAGTACCAGTTAAAGTTTTGTGCATTTGGATTATTTTGTCAGTCTGCAGAAGTGAAACCAAAATCCAGCTTTTAATCTCTTTGCTTTTCTCTGGAATGCAGCAGCAAAATGCTACTTGGTTGGAATTTTAAAAAACTGTGGTTGCCTTTTAGTGCAAATGTAATTTATAAATGCAATACTTATAAAGTGTTTTGAGGCATCCAGAGATATAAATTCAGCTAGTACTGAAATCTTTATGGCAAGCATATTTACAAAATATTCAAGTTCTAGATCCTTAGAAATCTGAGCAGTGCCTTCTCCACTACTGTACTGAAAATTCAAGATGTGGATTTAGAAGATGGTGTTCTAACACTTGAATTACTGAATATATAATTGAATTGGCATCTGGCTGTGGCCCTTGGGGACATGAATTAGGGACGATTGTGGTGCTGCTGGGTGAGGGTGGCACTGGATGATCTTGAAGGTCTCTTCCAGCCTTGATGATTTTGGTGATATAATATCTCTTAACTCAGTTTAGATGCAGGTCTGAAGGGGGAGAAAGGTTGTGACCCAGAGCAAAACATAACATACAGGGAGGAAAAATCTTCCAAGCAGTCCAGGTTCTTCTTGTTCCTTCCTAAGGCTCTCCCATGCTGTGTGTGCTCTGTGCTTTCTTTGGTGAAGAGAGTCACAGAATCACAGGAAGGTTTGGGTTGGAAGGGACCTTAAAGATCATCTCATTCTGACTCCCTGCCATGGGCAGGGACACCTTCCACCAGCCCAGGTTGCTCCAAGCCCCATCCAGCCTGGCCTTGGACACTTCCAGGGATCCAGAGACAGCCACGGCTTCTCTGGGCAACCTGTGCCAGGGCCTCCCCACCCTCACAGCCAAGAATTTCTTCCTAAAATCCCATCTAACCCTACTCTCTGGCAATTTGAAGCCATTTCCCCTTGTCCTGTCACTCCAGGCCCTTGTGGAAAGTCCCTCTCCTGCTTCTTTTAAGTCCCCTTTAGGTACTGGAGAGAACAGAATGGACCTCATTGCCTCCAGGAAAGAGCAGGAATGGGAAGATGTGCAAGCTGGGATATCTCTGAGTAGGCAGCAGTAAAACATCTGGCCTGTTTGCTGGGGTTCCAGAGCTCTTCCATGGAACAGGCTCTGCCACAAGCTGGGATCACCACCCAGGGCCATGGATCAGGTGTTGTCCCGAACTGCTCAGCACCCTAAAGGGGGCCCATCTGTCATCCTTGTTTCCTGGCATCAGGTTTCAGGCTCCTGCTTGGAGTTACAGCCACACACACAGGTGCTTGTGGCCTGTCTGCTTCCCTGGATGAGGATCACGTGTTTTCCAGGTCACTTATTCCAGGAGATATTCCAGCAATCCTCTGCTGGGGTGAACACTGTGAGCAGAGGGGTTGGTAAATAGACTTGTCTAACCTGAGTGCAGGAATAGGAGGGCAGGTTGGGAACAGTGCTGGGCCAATTCAGACACAACTTTTAATTTTTTTTGGGTACTTTTTTATAGCAGAAAGATCCACAAAAACATCTGCATTGAAGCTCTAATTATTTATTCTTTTGGGTTTTATTGTTCAGCAGAGTGTTTTTTAATCTTCTTGCTTTCGTTTGCGTTTTCTTAAGAATGCAAATATTTTCCATTCTAATGTGGCCATTAATAATTCATTTGATTTAGAAAGCTCAGGGCAGGAATCACTTCCTTGGCCCTGTTGGCCACACTGTTCCTGAGCCAGGCCAGGATCCATTGGCCTTCTTGTCCCCCTGGGCACACTCTGGCTCCTGTTCAGCTCCCTGTCCATC